AAGTTTCGGTCAATTACTATATTTCTGAGAGCAAGGCCATTATAGACCTTGTTCCTCAAGTTAGACTTTCCTTTAACAGTGGCTCAGTGAGAAGTTGTAGTGCTTCCATGCTGTGGACCTGGAATTTGAAATTTGGAAGAAAAGTTGCTTGGTATCAGGGAAATGTCTTATACATGTCCTGTGAAACCTCACTCAAACCCAGGGAAGTTACAAGCCTCAGAAAACCGCAGTCTGAACTCACTGCACAGACTGATAGTAGACTAAGTATTGTATACTCCCGAAAGCATGAGGGGGGCTGAGTGCAGGTTATCCCCTCAAGATGGGCTCGGCACGTTCCCCTGCCAGCTGCTGAACTTGTTCCCTGCACATGCAGGTGCAGTGAGACAGCTGCCAAGAGGCAGCAGGGACCCTGACTCTCTCACATCCCTAGTTTCAGATAATTTAAGACCAGAAGAGATCATGAGATCCTCCAATTTCCTGAATTTTAGAGACAGCTAAACCTAAGAACTAGTACTTAGCTCAAATGCAAACACCTCTTCCTAAAATGACACCCAGTTTTGACCCAAAACACAGTACAAGGAGGCTCTGCCACCTCCTTCACTGTTTCAAATGTGTGAAATGGGTGCTTTTTCTTCTTCTTTTTAAATCTGAATCCCTCTGTAGTCTCTGTTTTTCGTTATGCCTTCTTCGGCTAGATTTAGGAGTCCATTAATACTTGTATTTTTTCCCCTGTGAAAACAGCTGTACATTATAAAGTCATCTCCCAGGCAGTCCTCTTTTTGATAAGCTGAACAAATTGAACTGTAAATCTGTCATCTGAGAGCACAAATTCTCCAGGTCAAATTACTTGTGGCTTTTTCAACAGCCTTGTCAGGTTTTTCAATGTCTTTTCTAAAATTCTGATGTCAAAACCACACCTCAGATTCTGCCATCAATCTGAGATGTTCTCAAAGCTAAAATAATCTTTCTACTCTCCTGTTTATTTCCAATCTACCCATCCCAGATGAAATTAGGTCTAAATAATTTTAACAATGGACCAGAAGCTCCTTTTGAGCTGCTTGTCCATTATAATGCTTAGATCTATTTCCAAGTCACTACACCTCATACACAGTCTCCTCCTGTGGGTATGACTTGTGCTCCCAATTTCTAGATGTAAAATTTTGTGTTTGCCTTGATTTAAAAAAGCCAAAACAAACCCTCTCCCCTCCTCCCCAAAATCTCAGTTCTGATGAGAAATAAACTGCACACAACATCCTCGTTTTCATTGCTCCTCCCCTCATACACACAGCACTGTTTGTATTTACAGCAAGTTTGCATTAGCATTTATGTTATATTCAAAATTGCTGAGGAAAAAAATTGTACTGGGCTTAGTATAGAAATGTGCTCATTAGAAATGCTACACTCAACAATCATCCTTCAGTAATAATTTTTTTTATACGTTAATTAACTTATCAATCTATTTAACAAATACTTTCTTGACACTGCGCAACACCAGTTTCTTAGTATGAACAGCATCTACAAAACTCAACCTTTTCCATAAAATCTGGGAGACAGGAATTCATTTCATTTCCATTCTTTAGTTATCCACTGTATGAATCCAGAAGCAGCTTCTCCATTACTCTTCCTGGGCTAAAATCTGACTCACAACCTGCAGCTATACTGGCCATCATGCTTATGTGGATTTTGCTTCTTTATTTTTTAATATTGGCACATAGTAGCATTCTTCTAGTGCTGTGGAATTTCTCTTGCACTCCAAAATTTATCAAAAATAAAAAGTTAGTTAGAGATGTCAGCCTAGTTTTCCAGGACTCTAATGATTCAAAATGTATTGTGGGCTATTTTTAACATATGCCATTAACAGATTGAAAGTGATTTTATTATCCTTTAGTGAAACAATATTTTCCTCTGCTTCACATAGAACAAGTATTTTTTGCAAACGCTTTTCCTTTTTCCACATCATTATTAGAAGTTCATCCATCTCCAACTATGAATAAGCCAGTAACATTCAGATAATATAAGCATATCAAAACTCCTGTTTTACTTAAGAAGTCTTATAGCTGAGCAGACGTGGTATTTGCCCATGACCTTTAGTTTCTCTTTAATTTCCCTGCACTTCTTAACTAGTTGTCACTCATTCTATATTATTTGATTCGGTCTTGACAGTGACATGGGACATACTTTTACTATCTTCTTCCTCAAAAAAGTCCTTCTTGTTCTTTTTTGTTCTTGCTGTTTACACTTCCCTTTCCAGTTAGTTTTGGTCATGCTTCCCTTTTGCTTTTGAAAATCACTCTTCCTGAACACGCAGGTATGTAATTTCACTGTTTGGAAGTATCTTTTGTTTACACTGAAGGTTTTGAAAATTATGGAGAAGATTTTTCCCTACGCAACACATTTCTAGATTAATTCATCACCGTAGGCTCCCATAAAGCTGCTCAAACCAAACGACCTTGTACTGGATGTAGTACATTTTATGCTAGAAAATTATCATTTGCAATTTTCAGGCTAATTACATTTCACCATTTTCTACATTTCAGCTAGAGCATAAGCTTCCCATACAAAGGTATTTTTTCTTTATATGCTTTTTATAGCCAAGTGCTCAAGAAGCAATGCACCTCATTCTCCATTTGCAACAGATCCTTATGAGTACTACCCTCTTGGGTTTGTTAATTAGTAGACTGATTGATATGTATTCAAGATCCTTGTATTAATTAACTTTAAGGCAGGTACCAATGTCTTTAATGTTGCATACTGTCCTCCACCTCTTACAGCCACTCTGTCCTTAAGCAGGCTGTAAGCACTGATTCCACATTCTTATTTTATGAATTGTCCCACAAGGTTTCAATAATATCAATTATATCTCATTTTTCCCTGTTAATGAGAATTTCCCTGCCCCATGTCCCTTCACACAATCTGCCTTCCCACAGAACTTTGTCCGAATGTCCTGCACAAAGAAACCTGCAGATTCACTCTAGCCAAATCCAACAAATTCCCCTCCAATTTTCTTTTTGTGGATCTTCCTTTTCATTACATTTCTCTCAACCTCCTGGTTTCCTTTTTCTTAAAAGTTGCACTCATGATGTCTGTCAACTCATCTACCATTTGGCACCACAAGCAGTACCACCAGTGCACACTTCTGGATCCTACCTATTTCTTCTGTGGCATCAGTAGGAATGACTTCCCATTCTGACTATTAAAAAAAAGATACTGCAGGTATAGATTTTTCAATCAAAAAGATCAAAGATCTCATGAAAAAAAAGGAATATGGTTTCATGGTTTGACAACTGAGTTTTTCTTTTGCCTTTTAGCAGATTTTAACAGCAACAGCACGGGCAAACGGAGCAACAGGGCAGGCAAGGTCTTAAATGCAGCTTATACTGATGTGAATTTTCTACTATCGCTATGAAGTGCTATAAAATTTTACATTCGTGAAAAAAATCATTTTAGAGGCAACTCAAGCCATTCATCCAAATTCAGTGGACAATTCTGAAGTTCATGACTATACTTCTCTACCTATGAAATGAGCAGTGTGATACCACCTTAGCAATACACTACTGTAATATTTATGGAGGTACATTAGTGAACTGAAGAGAAAAATCATGGCAAAATAAATAAGTGTATATAACAATTAAAGGTAGAAACAAATGGAGGCATACGCAAAGAAAAATAAGCGATGATCAAGGAAGTTGTTAAAAAAAATTTACTGTCTGCCATGTTGTTTTAAGCATGTGATTATTCTATTAGAGACTACCATAACACATCTGCAGAAGGTATCTGAATTGAGACAGCATGACTTCTCAAGTCACGGATGATCACCATAAAAACAATACCGTTCAATGATGTTTAACATTTCATAGGGTTCTCTTTACTTGTTCTGAGCGCAAACCAAGCACCTCAGCTCCTTTACGCCACGATGGTCTGAACCCCACATAATTCTGTAACAGGGTCAAAACCTTCAGACCCAAAGTAGCAGCTGCTGCCATGTGAGCTACCAGAGCACTTCTCCTTTTGTCATCCCATTTAAGTACATTTACTGGATTAAAGAATTTTAAAAGTGTTTGCTGACAGCATAGTTTCCTGATACATTAAGAGGCCCAATGAAGAAAGTCTCAAAACTTTTAGTGAAAAGCAAGCTGTTCTACCCACGACATACTTCCATTCTCACAAATGGCTAACTGGTTTTGTCTGAAACTTAAAACCAACAAAGCCTCAATCCTGAAAACATAACCAGTGACATTTCTGTCCAAATAGTTATCAACTTGGTAGCTACAAGGAAGTGAAAACATTAAGTGTTATAACCAAAAGTTTGCTCAGCATCCTGATTTAAAGGTACTCCTGGCTCTGCTTACAGTTGTGATCATTGCACTGTAACTTCAGGTGTCAGCAGAGAGGTCACTGAAGTCCAGTGCAACTTCTAGGGGACTGTCTTCAAACCCACTGGAGGTCACATACAAAGAGCTTTTCGGGAATCACCCCCTACATATTTAACAGAGAATTTGGCAGTATTTAGCACAATTTGGCAATTTTCAGAAGGTCTGGGACTAAACAGCCCTTGTACAGCTAGTGTCACAACTAAGGCATGCAACAGCAGCTTTACTTTAGTGGTGCCAGGATTACTATTCTTTTGCTTAAGTATCAACCCCAGATTTTAAAAACAGTATCTGAATGCTATTTACATATTGATATGACTACTAATATTCCAGCAACGATGTTAGCCCAGGCACATGCTGTGTTAGGATTTTTGAAGACAATCTGTGATATACTTGAGAGTGAATTTACTGCATCATTAAAAAGAAAGTTGTTATTATTCCTTTGTGGAGTTTTGGGTTGGGTTTTTTTTCCATTAAATTCAAAACCTTTCGGCCAAGTTAAAAAAAACCTTTTTAATTTAGTACAACTTGGGAAAATAGCAATTTTTTGTGGTTTGGATGTGGGTTTTTTATTTTTTAAACTGTGAAAAGTCTGAGCATTAACTGATCTAGATTTGACTGGGTACTCACTCTGTCGCACAGCTCTTCAAACGTGAAGTCTGCAATGGTTCCACATGCTTTATTCAGCTTCAGCTCTCTGCCTTGCACTTTTAGAATCCTTGGTCTAGTTACTATGGGAACATGAACAAAGACTCAATCTTCTCTGGATAATTACTATAAAATTCATCTCTTACAGATAGGAAATGCATAGCTTGATGAATAATAGCACATGATTCAACACATAAATTAGACAAAATGCTGATACAATGACTGCCACTTGAGTGTGGCATCAACCCATATACAGCAATGGAACTTATTAATTGGTCAGTGGAGATTGGGCATTGTGTTCTAAATGTATTCTCTTTCAAGAGAAATTAACTTACGTACAATCATTTTGTTTCTGAGCCAGCTCATCAAACAACTTATCCATGACAGCCTCCACATCAGCTTCACTTGTGCTACAGTGAAAAGAATAATAGAATATGAAATTAATAACACTTGAAGCCAACATCAAACAGCTGCCTGAGGCTGCTTAGCTTTTTGCCCATAAAAAAGAGAACAGGATGTTATGCTCTAAATACAAACATTAGATTTAGAATACACTTAAAAGTAGAGAATATTAACTCTCAGGTAGATGATTCTGCCTTATTTGCATACACTGAAAGACTTCTGTGTTTTGAGCTGTTTCCAGTAATGAGGCAATACAGGCAGTGCAGATCCATTAACACTATGTGTACACAATGAGAAAAAAGGCTTCTGGCTCTATCTTGCACGCAAAATAAGAGCAAATAGACAAGGCAAGGCAGTCAAGCACCTAAAGAAGTATCCTTTGAAATTTCTGAGAGGGGACTTTGTGAAATTAAATATTGGAGCAGCTTTCGGGGGAAGGGGAGGGAAATCAAGTCAAATGATTGTATTGATCAGACAATTTGCAAAATTAAACTATGAAATTCAAAATACTAGCATGATCTCTGCATTAGTAATTTTACCAGTCCCCCCCACCCTCTTATCCCCAATAGTATTTGGGAAAAGATCAATCACAGACAGTGAAAATGCGAAATATCTGTGCTGAGAGCTGAAGTTTATTTTCATTTTCTGGTTGCCACAAGAATTATAAAACAGTCTGATCAGAGATTATGTTTTGTCACTGAATTGGTTAGAGGGCCAACTTTTCTGTGTTTCATTCTTAAAGATACATAGATAGTATTTCTAGCTGAGTTTGAAAGCTGAGACTAGTAAAATGATGCTACAGTAGACGATAAACTAGAACTAGGATATATAAAGCTTCACTGAAGTTTATATAATCTCACTTGGTGTGAAAAGTTTACTTTTCTAGATTATGGACGCACTGAAGTTGCATTGCTTCACACAGTTCTAGACCTCTAAACAACAAGTGATGATCAGCATGTTACACAATTACTTTCCTGTTCATAAGGCCTTAAGCACCTTAAAAAATGTTAACAGCAGAACTGAAATAAATACTTTTTAGCTCAAGCTTAACAGCAGCAAACCGTGTAGAAAGCATTTGGACAAAAAACGCCATGAACTTCTGCAAAAGCCATTTCAAACACTTTAAAAAAAACCTTTTCTGAATAGATTACATAAAATTGTAACTTCAGAAAAAGAAGTTTCTCTCAACATTGGTATCAGCGTGCTGCTTTCCTCTGACACAATGACAAATGAAAAGGAACAGACAAAAACAGAAGGAAAAAAAAGCCATAA